GGCGCAAATGAATGCTGGCACATCCCATCGGCACATTCACCTCCTTCCCCCCAACCCGCCTCTTCGACAGACTGACGATGAAGAAGTGCCGCCATAGATCGAAGTGGGTATCGATCCCTAGGAAACCCTCGCACAGGGCAACAAACGCCGCTATATGTTGAACCCCATTGGGAGTAAGATGCTGCAACTCCACCTGGTAATAATCCAGCAGCCCCCGAAGGAATCTATGCGCGGGTACGGCAAATCCCCGCTCATGGAAGATAGCAAAGGACACGACATACCCTTCGGGGGGGCGCCAGCTCATCCTCCTCACCGGGCAGCAGCCACTCCTCGATGGCGGACTGCGGGCGGAGAAGGCCACAGCGAACAAGGCCCTCCAAACGCTGAGAGGTAATACCAGATCTACCCCACAGCTCCATTAAAGCCTCGGGAAGAAGGGTGGGCGCGAGCTCAACGACAACTACGATGCGGGAGCGAGCTTAACGGCGGCTGCGACGTGGAGGTGAACCTAACAATGGTGGTGGTGCGGACGTAGGAGGCTAGGGCAATTAGCGACAGAGGTTTCGGACGCGAAGGCATGGGGGCGAAATATGGAACCCTAGGGGCAAACCCCGTGGTTTTATAGGGGCGACGAATGCGAGAAGGGCAATCGTCCGCCTTGATCTCCGGGCCTGCCACGTGCACCGTCGCGTCACGTCGTGGGACACGCGCCCGTGATCCCTATCCTCTCCCACCGAAATCGCGCTGGACGGTTCGCCTTCCCAAAACGACCGGACTCTTTTCCCACAGAGGGGACGTGGGCCAGAAAAATCTCTTCTCTGATCTGTCTGGGCCCATAACGACCAGGGGACGGCCCGAACCATCTCGATGGCCGCCCCAACGAAGGATGGGCCCATGAGAAACCAAGACTCCGATGCACAAGCATCAGCAGGGCCTCGACTTGCAATCGAAACGCCGGCCAAGTTAACCCTAGATGTTTTCCCCGCAAATGGGGTACCAGGGCTCCCTTAAAAATATCCAGTCAATGAAACACCGAGTCTTACGGCCTTACCCGCGGAGGTTCCGATACTACCCCCCGGGTGATTCTACCCGAATCACCCCGGGGGCTCAGGGGCTACACCCACCGGGTGCGCTCGCGCACACCCTCTGACGAATTGACTCTGATACTACCCCCAGGCGATTCTACTCAAATCACCTAGGGGCTTGGGGGCTACACCCACCGGGTGCGGTTGCGCGCACCCTCTAGCGAATTGACTCCGACAAAATCAAAACACCCCCCGGGCAATTCTGTCCGAATCACCCGGGGGCTCGGGGGCTATTGTCGGGGACCTAATACCGGGGTAACCAAGGAGGTGGAACTAATAAACATCGAACATTAAAAACTCCCGAACGGACAAGAACACTACTACGCCTCTTGCCCGAATGACGGGGGTTTGGTTCCGCCTCGCCCGACGCCCGTGGGCCAGCTCTGCCTCACTCGACGGCTAGAGGACGGCTCTGCCCCGCTCGAGGGCTGAGGGATCGGCTCCGCCTCGCCCGACCCCCGAGGTATAAACTCCGCCTCGTCCGACGCCCGTGGACCGGCTCCGCCTCGCCTGAGGGCTGAGGGCTAGACTCTGCCTCGCCCGACGCCCGTGGGCCGGCTCCGCCTCGCCCGAGGGCTGAGGGCTCGGCTCTGCCTCGCCCGATGCCCTAGGGCTATGCTCCGCCTCGCTCGACCCCCGAGGGCGGACCTCGCCTCGCCCGATGTACAAAGGCTGGCTCCACCTCGCCTGACAACCGCACCCCGCTCCCTCATGATGATAGGCATAGGGTAAGACAAGACGTTCGGGTCAACCACAGCATCAAGGACCATGCCCTGCGCCCCTGCAGGAGAGTACCATCAGGGCATGACGGGACGGGCGCTTAGACCCTTCTAGGCGTAGCAGAGCTTGAATAGTGTTGCAGGCACGTGCTCTTCGCCCTACAGTGTTGTAGGCGCCGCCTTCAGCCCCCGGGCGAAGAGTCCGACACGGACGTATGACAACCACTAAGTTCCAAGGAGGGACCCCCGTCCCCTACAGTGGAAAATGAGCAGTCACCGCGCCTTCCGCTCCCCATAGGGTCACAGATCGACACCCCCGCCCGACACGCCACCCGCAAAGGCGGGACGGGACACACCCACTTGCTAAAAGAGGTCAGGGCATGGCCTACGAAGATCAACAAACACGCCACTTCTGACACTGTCTGCCATGTGGTACAGGGCAGGCGCAAGGAAAAAAGGAAGACCCGGATCCTTCGAATGACCTTCTATACCCTTAGTATTTTTCTCTTTCTCCCATCTGTAACCCCTGCTCCCCCCTTGGTCTATAAAAGGGAGGGCAGGGCTCCCCACTAGAGTGACCGACTTTGAACGGACAACTCACATACAGACGAACTCATAGAGAGTTTAGTTCGACATCACATACACAGCCAAGCCGCCATCAGGCTCTTGGCCTCCTTTTGACCCTTCCATCAGAGACCTGGGACCAGTCCCTCTCTCGACCATTTGTACCCCCTACTACGAACCGCTTTCGGTGCTAATAACACGAGCAGCAACAGACTGGACGTAGGGACATTCAGCCCGAACCAGTATAAACCTTGTGTACTTTAGCGCACCATCCGGGTCTAACGCGCATAATTATAAATTTACTAGCCGGTGCTTGTTCGAAACACCGACAGAACTCTTTTGCTTTGGTGCAACTAAAGATAAGAGTGAGGTTTATGCTGAGCTATTTGGGTGTAAACAAGGGAAATTTCCTTTTGGGTATTTAGGAATACCAATGCATTATCGTAAAATTGGGAATAAAGATAGGATGTTTATCGAAGAGAGATTCCAAAACAAAACTAGGAAATAAGAATGGCAAGATGTTGTTATTTGATGGAAGGCTAGTTTTGATTAGTTCGTTGTGATGTCTTTTTGGTAATTCCTAAAGGAATCCTTAAAAAAGTTGGACTATTATATATTCAAATTTTTTTGGCAATGTGATAAACATAAAAAGAAATATAGACTCACCAAGTGGAGCATTCTGTTTTTACCAAAATGATTGTGGGGTCTAGGAATCTTGAACTTAGAAACTCGGAATAAATGTCTTCTAAGTAAATGGCCTTTTAAGTTACTAAATGAAGAGGGACTTTGGCAAATTGCGCTAAAAAAATCTGAAGAACAAAACTTTGTCACAACTAGTAAAACAACCCGACAATACACAATTTTGGGCCGGTGTAATGAAAATCAAAGAACAATTCCTAGAAAGAGGAAAATCTAAAGTTTACAATGGTTGACAAACAAGATTTTTGGAAAACTGTTCAGTAAGAAATGAGACTTGATGCTTAATACCCTTCGCTTTATTATAGAAACAAGAATGTAATAGTTTCTCAAGTATAAAGGCCCTGGTTGTTTCAGGTTCCTGAGAGCTTTGGGACCTTCCAAAAAAACAAAAAGCTCCCACGAGCCAAAAGTCCAAAAGCTCACATTGAGGAGCTTCTGGCTTCTAGCTTCCGAGAGCTTTTTGTCTTTTGGAAGGTCAAAGAGCTGAGGTCCAAAAGCTTCCAAGCCCAAACAAACAGGCCGGACCTTGTGGGTGACCGGCCAGGCAGGTCCAAAGCATCATGTCATGCTAGACTGGGTGCAATCATGGATGGGCTTTGATAAGACAGTGGTGGCCTCGTGGGCCTTAGTGTTCCCTGTTTGGCATGGCCCATTTTGCCAATACTGCTACAGAGCTTAACGCACATTCGAAAAAAAAAAGGCTTAAGGCACATCCGCAGAAGTGTCTCGCATGCCTTCAACTCATATCATGGAACGGTTGCTTTGAAACATGTGCAGCGTATCCTCCTATTTATAAAAAAAAAAAGTCGACCGAAGAAGAAGACCGTCTCACGCATCATATTTATTATCAGGCTCCAGTTTCCAAAAAATACAGATTTACGTATATACGTATTCTGCTTGAATGACAGACTTGGTCTATCAATTCTCTAGAACTATAGAATAATACTAAGATGAAAGCGACCGATGTAAAGTGCATCATTTGTTTAGCATTTTATATACCAAAGCTTGATCGTCAATACTATCAGCAAATGGAACATGTCCAAACATATGACAATTTCCATGGGGATGCTTGATGATGTGAAGGAAAAAAAAAGAAAGAAAGAAAGATCCAGTAGAATTCAGTAACTGTAGTCGGACTAGGAAACATAGCTTGTGCGAACTATGAAGTTGGGTAAAACCCTGAATGCAAATGCTACCAGACTACTGGTGTTCATAAAATATATATACACTTTGTTCATTTATACAACACAAACTTGAAACTGTAAAGTTGGGCGGTCTATGGGATAGCATGTACAGTATAGCAGATGGTAAAACGGATGTACGCTTCACTGGCAAAATTACACAATCACAGTGCATCCTATAAGAAATTAGTCGCAATCAATTTTCTATTGGCCATCAAAAGTCTGCAAGAATGGTAGGAAGAGTATGCGAGTGAGACAAGGTTTAACACCACATTTAAAACAAAGAGCAGAGAATAAAACTAGTACTCCGTACAGTACCTAATAAGCCAGATATCCCCTGGTTCTATGAGAACATCAAGCAAAACGTATTTTGCTACCAGAAAATTTTCAATCTATTATGATGAGAAAGAAAGTAAATGAAGAACGAAGGAACTAATCATCCTTAGATTAAGCCAATGAATTCAGCTATAAATGATCTGAAATTCAAACAGACCTGATAAATTTGCCTTTTGTTTATTCTGTATCTGAAATACCTCTCATACCTTTTTATACTCAATTTCAGCATGTCAAATATAAGTAAATTCATAAAACGAAAACGCATGCTTAGATACACAATGGCTGTTACAACTTCGCCTAAGACAGGTTCATGTAATTAAGATACCAGAGACCACATTACAGCACGGAAATGGAAGCAGATGAGCATGACTGTGCATACTTACACGCTGAGGGATGCAAATCAACAGAAATGAAAGTTATGATCCCATCTGCCACTGTACCAGTCAAAAGGTTAGAAGATTAATACTTGCAACAGAAACAAAGGAAAGTCCTGCATGGTCTTAAATTCACTCCAGCCTAGTCAGTGGAAATAATGGTTACCTTAAGAACCGGCTCTCCTCCTTGGTTTGATGTCTTGGATTCCTTCATTGCTTTCATCTGTGCTTTGGCTGCCCTTCCAGCTGCTGATTTATCATACTCCGCCTGTCTGCAGGATGAAATAAAAAGTCACAACTAGGACCAAGCTACTTCAGATCGAATAAACTACAAGGAGTGTTATCAAACAAAGAATACTTTCCAATCCATATAGTAATAGTGTCTACTCTTTCTCCTAAAGTCTTGTGCTCCCCAATTGTGCTGGTGATTGTTTACTTAACTTTAAGGGTCATAATGATTCCTCCCAATGACTAATGACGCTGGGCACCTGAACAGGATTCCCTATCCAAGCTAAATCAATGGCAATTGGTGCCGACTGACCAAGAGGTACGAGCAGGATCTAGGCTACCACAGTGGCACCTCTACACTACAACAGCCGAGCTCGATTCAATTCGATTCAGGAAGGAGGCCATCAGAATCTGATTCGATCGAGGGGCCACTCAATCCAACGTCTTGGAGTAGGGGTGGGGGGCCAATCAAATCCCCCAATCCGATAAACCCTCAACCCGAGCGCGTCCTGCGGATCAACCCAGAGCCAAGTCAACCAATCTTTGGAAGGGAACTACAGTATATTCGTGCCCAATAACCAACGCGAGGAACGCCCCATGATTGATCTATCTAATCCTGCGCGGCCGGCCGGCGGCCCGGGAGGATGGTTGGGACTTTGAGACGGTTTACCTCCTCTGCGCGGCCTCGGCGGCCTTGGCGCGGGCGTCCTCCGACTCGCGCCGGTCCGCCTCCGCCCGCCGCTCCTGCTCCGCCGCCTGCGCCGACCCGCCGAAACACGGGCACTGCCCCATCCGCCTCTCTCCCTCCCTCCCTTGGTTTGCTCGTCGCTGGCGTCTGATTTCGTGGTGGTTGCTTTGTCCTCGAGAGCTGCTTGCTTACGAAGGAATCAGGGGACGGATGCAAAGGCAGGGCGGGCATGCGGCAAACCCAAGCCAAAAAGGAGGAGGGGCCCTTTCGAGGTTCGTGGATGCCGCGTGGGCCCGTCGCACAGTAGGCGGTTAATTTGGTTTGACCATTGAATTGAACGGCCTACTGTTGGTTTTTAGTTCGAAAAAACAGAGGATATATACATCAATTCGGACCATCCATTCCAAAGCATGCGATTTTTGGCAGCACTTTCCAGCGAACGAACAGTGTTTTCCTCTCACAACAAATCAGCATAAGTATCAGGACCAAATTTCAGCAAAACGAGCAGAGCCGGACAAGCTTATGTGATCTCATAGAATATTATATATTGATTAGATGAAAAACTTCAGCTAAAATACATAGAAGTCATAATAAACTTAGCATGCCGATTTGCTACTCGAAGCACACTAACACACACTCATACTACATAATGGGCACCACCTAGACACACTCAAAAAGGAGAAATTAAACGTCTCTTCTGCTAGAAAATTACAAAATAACTAGATTTCTTCAACTGAAACTCACAAACATCAAAACTCGTAGACCACTATAGTTAGCGACTTGCTAAACCTGTCGAATTACAGGACACACACATCTCCGTAGACCAGAAAGTTGTTTTCAACGAAGTTCATCCATCCCTTGGAAATGTACACTATTCCATCCAACCCAACAAAAACCCTCGCTCGCCGCCACAGGCTCATCCGCTCCATGCATGATATGGGCAACTTGACTATAACCACGCATCATCCGCCGTATGTACTGCCAACTATATGCACCGTCCAGGCTCTGCACCTGGCAAAAAATCGCATAGAATTCGTGAGTTCAGTCCGGCATGAAATTAGAAGGTTATGAAATATCAAATTAACATACTCAATTAACCAACTACTATGCCACATTCAATATCCACAAGTATTAGGAGGTCCAAGAGAGTGTCTGGCCACAAGGGCTATCTATAAAAGCCCACCAAGAAATCCAAGCATTACTCACTTGTCGCACAGGCTACAGGTGCACCAAACCTCTCCGGTGGCCATTGGACACCTGCACCTGAGACCTTCAACAACAGTTTTCCAACGGCTATGAAACTAGCCATTAACCTCTGTCAGAGGTCCGTTGTGCACATCGTGTGCACATTGGACACATGTGGTGCGTGTTAGCTGAAGTCCCCATTTGCAATGCTCTCTAGTAGAATGGTGCGGTGCACCATCCAGTGCCCACACCGGACACCTCTGGTGGTTGTTTTTGAATCTCCCGCACGCCAACATACTCCACCGGACGCTAAAGAGAAGATTCCTTATATGGCCCTATAAAACTCGCTTATTCCTCTTATGACCCTCCAAAGTTTAGACCTTATATGATATTATGTCAAAATTTGATTCGACACTATTGTCACTTTTGGAGGCTAACATTATTAAGTATCATATGAAATGACCAAAATACCTCTGCTATACAAAAATGTATTTGTTTCCCATATGACACTGCTTCATGTGATACAAAAATGCACTTGTACCCTATACGACATGGTGCACTATTACTGTGCTTTATTTGGACACGTTGGTAAATTTTTCAAATAAGGTTTTCCTAATACATGTTAATGAAGCATTAAAATTCATCCAGATTATATAAATCAAAACTGAATCGTAAATAAGACAAACTATAAATAGTAGTATCTAAAATAATACATAATTTTTTTCACATGAACTTGGATGAGGAAAACATTTATATCAAAATTGTAGCTTTAGACGTGATCTACAACTTGTAGTTGACAAGTTCTTTATTTGAAACTGTTTAGAGACTCAAATATTATTTTAAGTTTATGGATTTTGAAATTTAAAATTTTCAGACAACCTCGAATGTTTACGGCCCCGTTCGGCTGGAGGAAAGTTGGAGGAAAGTGGATGAAGAACACTGTTCCGGATGAAATATTGTGAGAGAAAAATACTGTTTCGGATGAAAAAAGAAGCGGATCAGCCGGGTTCAAGGGCAGCCTACATGGTTTTCAACATTTAGAATTTCCAAGCAAGCTTAAATGTTCACATAGTTTTTCTCGAATACGCAAAAGATTTACGCATCATTATAATTAAGAAGAAGAGTTTAACCATACAACGATGCACTCTGACCAGCGCCCTAGGAGGTCCACCGGTTGACCTTCCTAAGTATACAGATTGAAATTTCGAATATTACATAAATGGTAAACAACCAAACTCCCTAGAAATGTTCACATAGTTAATACCGAAGTTATAGTGGTCAACATGATCTACATTTTTTCTATTGATAGGTTTTTTTAGGTGCTTTCCGCGCTTGCCACGCGGTCTATTGATAAGTTTTTGATTCAAAGTTGTTTGATGTCTTAAATGTTTGTTTTAAATTCACATCTTCGTACAACAGGGATATTATGGTCATTTCGTAAAAGAAAAGGTAGTGTCATGTCACGTGGGGAATCAAATTCGAACGCAGTGACATACAAGAAAGTCTCTGAACTATAAAGGGCCATGAGAAGAATAAGCCCTTGTTTACTTCCAAACCTAAATTCTTAAAAAAGTGCTACAGTAGTCATCACATCGAATCTTACGATACGTGTATGGAGCATTAAATGTAGACGAGAAAAAACTAATTGCACAGTTTAATTGGAAATTATGAGACGAACGTTTTGAGCTTAATTAGTCTATGATTGAACACTAATTACCAAATAAAAACGAAATTACTACATTAAGGCCCCGTTTGGCAGGGCTTCTCCAGCGGCTTCAGGAGCCGTTTGGAGCCGTTTTCTGCCAAACGGGGTAAAATGAAACGGCTCCACCGATGAAGCCCCTAAAAACGTGCTCTCACAGAGCTTTGGGGTGGGAAGGAGCAAAAAATAGTGGCTTCTCCCGGCTCCTCCTCCAGGCCCCTAAAAACATGCTCTCACAGGGAAGCCATTTTGTCAAACGGTTTACCAAAACCGCTTCAGCTCCACCGGTGGAGCTGTTCGTGGAGCTGAAGCAAAAAAAATGGCTTCACTAATGAAGTGAAGCCCTGCCAAACGGGGCCTAACTTAACTTCCTAAATTCCCCCGACTGAACACGCGCTAAGTGAGCTTCACGTGACCATACAAGAAAATACTAGCCCTGCAGCGCGCATGACTTGCGGGCAGAACCAGACAACCGCCCATGACAAACACATCTGATGCTAACAACTCGTACACGTCTCCAACAGTCCAACTCGTACCCGACGTCCAGCTCGCAGGCATCTGACGCTAATAATATCGTTGCACCGCGCTGCCGCAGAGGGCTCGCTGCTCCGGTGGCGCCCGCCCGCCGGTGGAGGCAGAACCGCACAAGGGCCGTGGGCCGCGGCACAGCCACGACGCACAGGTGCAGCAGCAGACGGCCGGCGCCCTGCTACCGAGCGCCACCACGCACGCCAGGGCCAGCACGGCTACCACCACCACCAGCGGCCAACCGCCGGCTGCGTTCTTCACGCGACGGCCGGCGGCGGCAACTCCTCCTACTCCTCTGCTCGCCTGCTGCGCCTCGGCACCGCCGCCGGACACGTGCAGGGGAGCCGCAGCAGCGCCCGCGGCGCAGCAGCCTCCTCCTTGTACGTCGTCGCTAGCCCGCGGCCGCGCGGCTCCGGCGCTGACGACTGCCGCCGACCCTCCGCCTCCGGCTCCCGAACCTCGGGCCCTGTGCTGCTTCGGGCCGGCGAGCCTGAGCTCCTGCAGCGCGGCGACGAGCCCCGCGCGCAGGCGCGCTCGTTTCGACCGCTTGGCGGCTCCGCTCTTCTTCTTGATTGACTCGCTCCTGGAGAGCGTGTGCCTCGTCGTCGTCATCGGCGGTGCCCGTGGGGAGCTGCCGACTCGCCGCAGCACCCTACCGCCGCCGTCGCCGCTGAACATGGACGATCGGTGGAGGAGATGCATGATTGTGCTGGGATTTATTTCTGGGAATCCACGCGATCTAGCGAAGCGAGGCTTCACGAGTTGAGCTTGTGTGTTGTGGGTCGTGAGTGGTGGCACCACACCGGGGAGTGAATACCGCGTGAGATGCTTGGCGTCTGCAACAACGCCGCTGGTCGTCTGCTCAAATAGTAGCACGTACTGTAGAAGTAGAAGTGAGCAAGCCAAGGACGTGCCGTGACGCAGCTGCCTGCTAGCTCAGGCAGACCCTGCTGCCGGAGTGCAGCTGCGCGCTGGAGGTGAGCATGTCAACACGTGTAGCTCGAAGCCTCGCGTACGCCTATGTGCTGTCAGGGGCTGCTTGGTTGCCGTAGAAGCCTTGCCTGACTTTAAGGATGGAAAATGGAAACGGATATCCGAATTATCCGATATCAGTATCAGCTAAAACTTATAATATGGATATTTGTATCTGTTTTTAATGTGGTAGCTAAATGAATATATTCGAATTCATTTTTCAGTGTTTTTCTCTATCCAATTTTAGATCCATATTCAACAATATTCGGCAGTATCCGTTTCTGCAAAGAAAACAAGGCAGCATGAACCTATTTAAAAGTTTTCTCTTCATAATGAGTAACCAGTTATTTAATTTTATTGTTACTAATGATGCATTAGAACCATTTAATAGTATATCTAGAAATAACTTTTAGTATTAATTTAAAATTATTAAGGATGCATAAAGATTAAATTAATTTTAGTATTTTCTAATACTTTAGTTTATTTATTTGTTGATATAAATTAATATTTATGATAAATATTTATATATTTATATAAACTAGTGGAGATGCACGTGCGACACGCACATGTCTATGAAAAAATCATATGTAATAAAAAAATAACAAGGTTAGACTTAGACCTTATAAGAATAAACATATAAACTAATAAAAAATTATCCAACCATAAATTTATTAACAGTTTCATCTACTAAATCATGGTATGAAGGGTCAAATCCACATAAAAATTCAAAGGTGCATTACTCTTGATGATAATCATGAACTAATTTATTTTTTCTTTATTATTTACATAATGGAAATCATTGAGACAACAAAACATAGAGTATGTCTCTCTTCCACATAGCTTTGCATATCCAATGTGGTCCAAATTAACATATATATATATATATATATATATATATATTCAGTAGCCAGCTACAAAATAAGTTATTCTGTAACCACCTCTATTTACGATAATTCTATATACTAATTTATGATAATGTCAATACATATTTACGATAATTATGTTACTATAATACATGGAGATATTTATCATGACATTATAGTAAATCATTTAGTAAGGAGTTACTATAATTATGTAAATTAGCATAATAATTATCGTAACTTAAAAGTAGCTACATAATAAGTTATTTTATAGCCAGCTGTAGAGTAGTAGTTCTATCTATCCTTCTATCTATCTATCTATCTATATATATATATATATATATATATATATATATATATATATATATATATATATATATATATATATATATATATATATATATATATATATATATATATGGACTAATGGTACTATTGCACTCGGACACTCGACCAGCCGGCCACTCAAACGCTTGACCACAGCCAGTTACCTGGCCAATTGCCACTCGGTCACTTAACCAAGGAAAATCTAGTTCACATAGCTACTCGATCGGCTAATACTCAGACACTCGTTCTGTCAAAAAATACTCATACACTCGACTACTTAGCCACTCCGTAACTTAGCCACACAACCAGTAATAATATAGTAGCATTAGCCACGTAGCCACTCAGGCATCCTACTATTTAAGGCACTCAGTCACTTCTATAATGTAAAATAAATGAAGAAAGGAGGTAAAAGTAAGAAAAATATGGTGTTATAAACATTTTGCACACAATCAAATAGTAAATTTGTTTTTAAGATGCAAATTACCTTGTTGCGCATATTATGCGAACATCTAATGGCAACTATTTTAATGACGACCGACCACCAGATGATTTGTTCTTTCAAGACATCTCAGAATATAGTAGATTCCTCTTCAATCGATAAGGTTGCTTTCAACCAGTACATAGTTCTTTCGGATGAACTCCTCGGGAAAAAGTCCACAAAAGTTTAAATGTGTGACTGGATAAAAAGCCCTGTTGTGAAAAAAACGAAAGAAACAGTACCTGAAGTCACAGTGACGCGGAGAGAGGCGATAGATGATGAAGCTGATGGCAGTTCGTGGACGATGTGGTAGATGATGAAGATGTCCACAGTGGATTCCATGCAAAGCGATTGGCGGCTACGTGCTGATGAATGTTGATTGATCTTAGCAGGAAAAGATTGAGGGACGTGTAGACGCGGGCACCATGGAAGGCAACGAAGAGGTAACACTTTGTTGATTTGTTGCCAGAAGTGCTACAGTCCAGGCTAATATCTAACAAACAGAAACAAGATCCAGTTAGTCCATATCACCACTACAGAAAAGGTTTGTAGCAACGGGATATTTTTTTTTGTAGAGACGACTGGTGACGGAGCCGCCCTACAGTGGGCGTGTTCGGGATCCATGTGATCAGCTGCCCCTATAAATGGTACAGTAAGAGTGGCTGGTGATACGAGCCGCCCCTATAAATGGGTCGATTTGTAGGGGTGGCTCACTCATCAGCCGCCCCCACTGTTGTGATTTTTAGGGGCGGCTCAATCACCAGCCGCCCCTACAAATGCTCCATGTAAAAAAGGCTACAACCCCCTTCTTCCTCCTCGGGTCTGAAATGATCTCGATTTCCACGAAGGGAAATCCACATATTCGTAGTATAATGTGATAGTCCTAGGCGATCATCCCATCACATTATCAAATAACAGCCGATATCACAGTCATACAACGAATACATGCCTTAAGGAGAGTACAAATAGCAAGGTTTACTCATTATCACATCGCCACTTGGCGGAATTACTCAGAGCATGCAGCAACTAGAACAACATCAAGTAGAACGGCAGCAGGCATGGACTCCATCTTCACGAACCAAACTTGAGCGCAGGAACAAGCCCTCTAATCCTCCCAACCATCTCCCTGGTAGTCATACCCAGGCTCGGAACCTGCCAAACAATTATCAATACGATTTGTATTGGCCACCGGCTCCCACCCTATGCTTTGCGTCTCCTTTGTGGTAGTGGAATGCAAGGGTAGAGCAAAAGACCTAATTATGGCTGTAGTTTCCAATGCGAGTATGTCAAGTTTTAATAATAATTCATTAAGTTTTAGCCCATCTTATCCACACATTCTCCCATCCCATCACACACATCTCACCACTCTCACACTCTCTAGGCGACAAGGACGACTCCCTCTCCTGCCTTGCTTCATCGGCCAACGCCGGAATCCAACACAAGAACCCAGGGGGTTAGAAGAAATGACTCCACTCACTAATCAAGGGAAGCGTAGGTCATAGGAATGTCCATAACCGAGGACGCGGCTATACATATAGATCGATCAACTCTGCAGAGCGTGTACACTTGGAAATCCACAAGATCACCATCATCGACGCGTGCACCGCCTAGGCTGTTACCGGGCTGTCTTCCAAACTAGTGCGATACCACCCTGCCACTCAGGCCTGGGCCACCCCAGAGTCCACCGGCAAGCTGAGACTGTGAGACGTAGTACCGAGCCCCTAAGGTCACTACGCTGTCTTAGGAGGGTGTGGGTCACACGCCCGTACTGCCCTACACTATCTGCTAACAACCCAACAGTAGTGGCACCACCCTAGCAGGTCAACATCCATCCCCCACCCAAACAGGGACGAGTGGTGCGTACGAAGGGTCCTATGATCTGGTTCTCTTGACATACCAGTCCTTTGGGGGACCGGACATGATATGTTCTCAAAGGGGATAACCAACACCCTGTGCCTCAATGGTACCTCTATCCTAGGGCTTCATCCCACAAAGACACTCCACCCCGAGATCTCCTCATCTCACATGCACCCGCCACAGGTACATCTCGTAGGGGATACCCAGGTCCCACCCCCCCGGCAAGACTCATCCAATGAATCATCGTAAGATCCTGCCCGATCTATTCAACCCTCATCACACACCCAAGACGCATGCCAAGATCTCCCCGGTTGTTACCACATTATCGGCACCAAGTGCCTTAACCACTCACAAACAACCCTCCACCAAGCATCACATCACAGATATAATACGTAGTAGAAGTAGTAACAAGTAAGTAAGCAAGCGTCTAGCCTAACAGCGGGTGTGCAGGGGTATAGGTTGCGACAAGGTAATGGCTCACAAGCAATTCTATCATGCAACCTATCACAGATCATTTGCATAAAAGTAAAGCACTAGCATCTATATTATAGCATGTCTAATAGGATTCTACGAGGTTGGGTGGGACATGGCACCTGGCAAGTCATCTCCAAGCACCTCAGTGTAGTCAGGGTCGTGCTCCTCAGTCTGTGGCTCCTCTGGATCTGTCAAACGAGACATATAGCCACGAAAGCGACTCCTATAGATGACCGCAAAGAAGCAACAGAAATTCAAAAGATCCAAATGCACTCAAACAAAAGCCTATGACATAGAGCTTATTTTTAGAAAAAATTGGACACTGGTTTTATATTTTTCTGAGGTCGGATGAATTTTCTAAGTTTAAATCATTTCCTAAAAAAGAAAAAAGAATAGGAAAAATTCAGAGGCTGACATGTGGCGCGTCTTGATTGGATGAGGTGGTTGTGGTCGCTGACAAGTGGGACTAGGTCAACGTTGACTGGGCTTAAACAGGTCGGGTTGGGCTGGCACGGGCCAGACACGTGTTGGTCGCCCAGGCCTACCACGTGGCATAGGTGGGCTGCTACTGGGCTTGAGTCAACAGGCGTGGCTCACGGTTGACTCAGGCGCATGGGTCCATAGACAGCAAACTCAGTCCACGTGGACCGTGTCCATTTCTCCCTCTCCTCTCTCTGGCTCACGGTGGCCGGGTGCACCGGGCGGCAGCG